GCTCTATGGTGGATCAGGTCACCCGCTGTAAGGCTCTGGTCAGCCTGGACCTTTCAGGCTGTCGATTGACTTCAGTTCGCCTCTCGCATCTGCTGACCTCTCTTCGTTCTCTACGCTCACTGGCATTGGATGTGGGGCCGGGGTTTGACCTCCATCAGCTGAGCGCCGAGGGTAAGTCTGCTTTGGCACGACTGCAGGAGCTCAAGCAGACGTTGTTGACTCCCTCGTATGGCGTGGTGCCGTGCTGCAGTGCCCTACGCTGCCTGCACCTCTATCTAGAAGCCAGCGAGGGCTGGAGGGAAGCGGGCGGTTGCGCGCAGCTGATGGTGGGCCAGAGCAGCGTGCCGCACTATCAGAACCTGCGTTGGTTCTCCGCACGCCTGGCGCCTGGTGAAGTCAATCGCACTCTGTTGTCTCTCTACTTAGCTGTTTTCAGTATGAGAGTCCCAGAGGGTCTTACGGGACTGGTACTGTCTGTGCCGGGCCCCGCGCCTCCAAGGCCGGTTGCAATGACGGCGTTAATGGAGAGCATGGCGTCGACGGTGGGAAACACCGTTAGTGCTCTCCAGCTTCCACGTACGTGGTTGGATGGTGCTATACTTGGGCGGGTCTTGGCGCATGGCTGCCCCTCTTACCTAAATGTCTCACGCTGTTCATCTCCAGGGTTCAACCCTCTACATGTGCTCCTTAGTGCGGGTCGTGACCTCACACCCTTACGGAGTCTCAACTTGCGCGGCTGTGGCCGAGGGCCTCTCGCTGAAAGCTGTGGGAAGGGTGAGGAGGAGATGGATGCAGAGAGCGTCAAAGCACTTACTGAATGTTGCCCGCATCTTATTCACCTTAATTTATCTGCCACGCACTACCACCATGCTCTTCCCGCTGGGCAGGATGGACACTTGTGTGGCGCTTTAGGGCGTCTTGCTGCATTGTGCTCTTTGGCACTTCCGGTGTGTGCCTTGGCACAGTCCCCTCCAGCACCTGTGAACATTCAAGACCCCCACACAGACCTCTTCTCAAGATCACTACTCCTCGGGCTTAAAAAGAGCAGCCGCATTGGTGTGCCCACATATCGACCAACAACCGAGGTCACCGTGGGTCAGGGAGAAGAGCGGCAGGATAGAGGCTTGTGCATTCAGCCTCTGCTTCAAGGTTGCCCGCATCTAGTGGAGCTGGAGCTGATTGGCGCAGGGTTTTCCTCTGCAATGCCGCGGAATGAGCCAGCCATCCGCAAAGACCCTTCCGCGTGTCCCTGGTCCTACAATGTCGGAGATGGTGAGTTAGCTGCTTTGGGAGGGATGAAATTTTTGCGCAAGCTCACCCTCGCTCACTTACCGGGAGTTCTGAAAGGGACAGGACTGATTGAGCTGGTTCAGGGGTGCAAGGACCTTCGTTCGTTATCGCTGGCAAATCTTGGATCTTTAAAGACCATGAACTACACACAGGCTCTGCTGGAGGCTCTTTCCTACTGTACACAACTCAGGGACTGAAGGTAAACACGTATGCAACTATTTAATAATATGATATGCATTTACTGTAACTCACCAGTAGGGGGCAGCATCATAATGACAGAATTGCTGTACGTCCTGCTTTAATAAAAAATAAGCTTTTTTATTTCAGATAAATGCTGATTTTTGGATCTTTCTAGTTATCAAATTCTGTCCTGAAAATTCAATTCAATCTGAATTCAATCCTGAAAAAATGTACTCAACTGTTATTGTAATATTTGTAATAACTGTATATGTAATTATTGATGATAATAATGTTTCTTGAACAGCAAATCAGCATATTAGAATGATAGCTGGTTCAGGGGTGCAAGGACCTTCGTTCGTTATCGCTGGCAAATCTTGGATCTTTAAAGACCATGAACTACACACAGGCTCTGCTGGAGGCTCTTTCCTACTGTACACAACTCAGGGACTTAAGGTGAACGCACACGCCACTGCACACTCCATGCACAAAATCTAGTCAACAATCTATATATATATAATATATATATAAAAAAAAATTTCACTAACCATGCCACAAATAATTTCATGTTAAAACTGTAACTCACCAGTAGGGGGCAGCATCATAATGACAGAATTGCTGTACGTCCTGCTTTAATAAAAAATAAGCTTTTTTATTTCAGATAAATGCTGATTTTTGGATCTTTCTAGTTATCAAATTCTGTCCTGAAAATTCAATTCAATCTGAATTCAATCCTGAAAAAATGTACTCAACTGTTATTGTAATATTTGTAATAACTGTATATGTAATTATTGATGATAATAATGTTTCTTGAACAGCAAATCAGCATATTAGAATGATTTCTGAAGGATCATGTGACACTGAAGACTGGAGTAATGATGCTGAAAATTTTGTTTTGATCACCGGAATAAATAACATTTTAAAATGTATTCAAACAAAGACCATGAACTACACACAGGCTCTGCTGGAGGCTCTTTCCTACTGTACACAACTCAGGGACTTAAGGTAAACACGTATGCCACTATTTAATAATATGTATTATATGCATTTATATAAATGAGTACTTGCAGGACTAACCATTTTACTAGCCAACCAAGTTGCCCGGGCTAATATCTACCTTATGTAAATGATTATGTTTAACCACTTAGTTTGGTCAAATTTGAAAAGATCACATGAACAACCTAACAAAAATTTAAAAAATGCAATTATGAAACTTGCACCATCATATATTAAACTTACAGCTAAATGGCATCTTTCACAATAACATTGACTATGATTTTGTTTTTAATATTTTCATATGAGTGTGCTTGAAAATATAAATTTCTGATAATTTTAAAATTAAAAATGGCTTCATGAAGTTAAAATAAAATACAATGCACAACAGTAACTTAGCTTTTGTTTAGTAGACCATATGTATCTTCTTGATGCATTACTATCAATAAAATAGAATGGAATATTATTTTATAACACGTGTTAATGATGCATTATTTTATAATTCCTAAAAATGTTACTGCTTCACTGGATAGTACATTTTTAGTCTCGTTGGTGAGTGTTCATTTTGGAATTAGAACTATGTGGGTTGAAGAAATAGCTAATATATAAGTAATAATAAAAACAAATTTTTTAATTTATTAATCATTTTAGCAGACTGTTTTAGCCCTATATCTCCTGTATTTATTCAGGCTGGAGCAGCCCTACTTTAATGCAAACGCAGCGTTTTTTGAAGCACTCAGTCAGTGTCACCAGCTGCGGCGTCTGTGTTTCGTTTCTCGACATGGGACCTTCCAGCCCGCCGCTGTGGCATCTTTTATGCAGAGCTGTGCTGAACTCATCATGTAAATAAATGCAGGCTTGGTGAGCAAAAGAGAATTCTTTAAAAACATTAAAAACATTACTGTTCAAAAACGTTTGACTGGTAGTGTAAGTAATAATAATAATACATTTATTAATAATAATTTTTAGCAGACTATTTTAGCCCTATAACTCCTGCTTTTATTTACTGTTTGTATATGTGTAAAACTGCAGGCTGGAGCAGCCCTACTTTAATGCGAACGCTGCGTTTTTTGAAGCACTCAGTCAGTGTCACCAGCTGCGGCGTCTGTGTTTAGTTTCTCGACATGGGACCTTCCAGCCCGCCGCTGTGGCGTCCTTCATGCAGAGCTGCGCTGACGTCATCATGTGCCACATGTTCATGGGTGGTACCCTGGTGGCCTGTAAAACACTGCAGAAAACCCTGCTAGACAGGTTAGTTGCTTTAATGAATTCTTAATAATAAAGACTTTCTTAGTGAGTGAATAATTTCCTGTAACCTGGTGTATGTCAAATATTTACCTGTCCTTTCTCTTCCTCCTGCAGTTTTTCAATATCTCGTCCAGCCCTCAGTGTGGTGATTTACCCTTTACTGCACGAGGATCTGGCCCATGTTATCAGAGGTATGCCACTTTGCCATCTGGACGAGATCACACTTTTCAAAAGCCGTGTCGCTGAAGAGCCCATGAAACAGTGACTGTGACGAGTCGGAATCAGAAAATGGAAATCATGTGGTGGATTATCCTGGGTAATGCTTGACCTGTGCTATTTTCTGACAGACAAGTCAGAATTATGTGTAGGGATTATCCTTTTGTTTATTTAATAAAATATATTAGCAGTCTGGTGAAAGGATTCCGGGAAAACCATTTGTTTTGACTTAAAAGATCATTGAGCTAAATGGACAATCACAACTTTTAATAAGGTCATCGTTTCCCAGTAAAGAGGCAGTGTAAACAAACTCTTTACCTGGTTGAAATGTCATCTTTGTATATGTGCCAAAATAAAGCCTTATTATATCTTCATGCTTTGTGTTCACTGAGATATTCTCTGTCTCTTAGTTTGAGATGCAATAGCCACAGTTTAGGCACATGCCATCTGAACCTAATGAGCAGTTCAGCTTTTTACAACCACTTTGTTGGACCTTTAGATTATCAGACATCTGTTGTTTCTCACAGGTAATAGAAGAGTGAGAGTTCATTAGATCATTGGAGATGTCTGATTTGTGAGCAAATAATTTTGAGTCATCTTTACAATGAAAAGGTTAATATTAGTCACAAAACTGCTTTCAATGAGTTGCTTTGTCTTTCATGAACACATCAAGAAAAGACATACACAAAGTGAGTTGTAATTTGCTGACAGGCATCTGATTGTTTAGAGTTTCCAACTAACTTTTGATATAAAGCCTTTAAGTCTTACAAATAAAGCATTCACAGATTAATATTGTGAAATATTATGTCACAAAATGTCATTAATTACTCACCCTCATGTTGTTCTAAACCCGTAAGGCCTTTGTTCATGTTCGGAACACAAATAAAGATATTTTTGATGAAACCTGAGAGCTTTCTGACCCTGAGTAGACAGACAACTGACACGTTCAAGGCCCAGTAAGGAAATAAGGACATCGTTAAAAAATAGTTAAAATTTACATATGCTATATGTAAAATATGTATTGTGGCTCTTGATCTTGCAGAGAACCTGATACATCATCTCTCCTCCTCTTCATCATGCTGCTGCTTCTTCGTGTGCTGATGCTGTTGCTTCTCTCCGGTGGTTCGGCCAAAGTTGTGCAGAATTTTGAGATTGAATGTGGTTCATTTTTTGCAAATAGAAAATCGCCAAAGGGATTTAATGATTCACAATACAGGCAGATCTGCCAATCTCAAAATAATGTTTTTTATTATGCCACATTCTATGACACTAACAAGAAGATTCCCATGTACTCAGCCTACAAGTTTGAAGGACTAAAGAACTGCACAAGACTAAACGCGTGGTACATTGAACCTCAAGTAAGTGAAATATTACTCTAAATGGGTTCAAGTAATTGTACTATATTACAGTGTAGGGATTTTTATCTTTATTTTTTGGCTGGAGTCATTACAAATTTACTAGTTGCTATTTTTCCTTTTCCTACTATTTGCTATTTATCCTTTTAGACCTTGAAAATATTCTCAGCTAACCTTTAAAGTAAAATAATAAAAAATATATTTATATATATATATTTTTTTTTTTATATAATATTTTTCTCATTTGTATGCATGTGGCTCCCTGTGATGGAATACTTTGTGCAACCTCCTTTGATAACAGCTCAGTCTTCTTTTACACTGTCAAGTTTGAAGAAAACATAAATTACGATCTGAGATCTTTCCAACTAGATTCATCAGATTCTGAGGTCCACATGTTTCTACATTACATTCTTCAAAGTAATCCAAGATCATTCTGTATGAGTAACAAATAATGGGTTAAACAGCTTTGAGGAAACATGAGGATACTAAATCACAAAAAGGCTAATAAAATAAAAGAGAGATTGCTAATATTTTATATGTGAATACGCTACAAAGCTAAATAGCAGAAGTAGCCATAAAGAAGGGTGGTAGTGATGAGTTTGTAATTAATTTTTCTGGGATAAAGAACAACAATAGATTTTGTCTAGAAGTGTTTGTATACTTATTTAAAACGTCAGCCTACAGAGTCTACGTCGCATATTAGTATGATTTTTCTCCACTAAGGTGAACTGTCCTTAAGCTAATGTTTTCAATTGATTCACTATTACAGCTTGACGACAATAATGCACCCCCAAACATGAAACTAGAGAAAGATGTGAAAATACAAGGACTTGGAGACTATCAAGCTCTCAATGGAAACTATGAGAAGTCTGGCTATGACAGAGGTCATCTGGCACCAGTCTTCCAGGCACAGTCACAGAGCTGTGCGGATACCACCTTCACTCTCACCAATGCTGCTCCACAAAACCCCTATTTTAATCGAGGTCAGTGGAGGGTACTAGAAAGAAACATTGCAAAAAATCTGTCTGATCAATGTCTACCAAATAAGTATTCTGTTTACATTGTGACAGGGGTGGTACCTGGTACTAAAAACATAAGCAATAAAGTGAACGTGAAAGTGCCTAGTCATTTCTGGACTGCATACTGCTGCTTAGACAACAATAACAAATGTCAGATCTCAGGAGGGTTTATTGGAGTGAATGAGAACATTACTCCCAAAGACAAATCTGTGAAGGATTTAGAGACAGAGTTGGCAAACCTTTTTAATTTGACATCATTTAATTTGTTTGATAGATCTACAGAACCCCCAGCAAAAAAACAAAGCGAATCAGAAAACAATGAAAATAAGCTCTTTCAAAACAAAGCGCCAGTGAGCTATTGTCTGAAAGAGAAAATTTATCAAATGTTTTCTTTGGTGTTCTTGTTATTTCTGACTAAATGATTAACTGAAACATAACGAAAATCCTTAAGAACTCCAGTTTTAATTATCTAATTATTTAAATTATTAGATGTTTGACTGTAATTAATAATTGAAACAATTATAATGTGTATAAATGGAGTGCATCAAATATTACACCAATATGAAATAAAGATTTTTTTTTTTGGACTCTTTATTGAACAGACATCCATTATTACATTTCCACTATGGCTAGCTAAGCCACCACTCTGACATGGATTGAATCACAATTGTGAGCCTGGACCACAAAACCAGTCTTAAGTCACTGGGGTATGTTTGTTGCACTAGCCAAAAATACATTGTATAATAAACACAAATGTGACCCTGGACCACAAAATGTATTATATTTGTATATTTGTACAATACATTGTATGGGTCAAAATTATCGATTTTTCTTTTATGCCAAAAATCATTAGGATATTAAGTAAAGATTATGTTCCATGAAGATATTTTGTAAATTTCCTACCATAAATATATCAAAACTTCATTTTTGATTAGTAATATGCATTGCTAAGAACTTCATTTGGACAAATTTAAAGGCGATTCTCTCAATATTTAGATTTTTTTGCACTCAGATTCCAGATTTTCAAATAGTTATATCTCAGCCAAATATTGTCCTATCCTAACAAACCATACATCAATGGAAAGCTTATTTATTCAGCTTTCATATGATGTATAAATCTCAATTTCGAAAAATTGACACTTAAGACACAGTTTTGTGGTCCAAGGTCACAATTTACCCAAAGTTTGAGATCATTGTAAGATTATAAAGTTACATTATTACAAAAATTCCATTGAAAAAAAAAAATATGCCAGACACATGTAAAAACGTTTGCATTTGGTGTTTAGAAACTTGTCCCACTCAATCAGTCAATATGAGTTTAATTCAAAATTAATATATTTAGACTGAAATCATTCTAATTACATTTTAAAAATCACTGGAAACGTATCACAAACTCAATATCTGATGTTGATTTGATTTTCCTGGTCAGGTGACAGAAAACTTAAGGGAAAAAACCTAGCTTAAGAAAAATAGGTTTTTAACGGGATGGCGAACAGCAGTGTGAGTAAAATAACATGCCCCACGTTTAAGTCCAAAGTCTGGACCCATGTCGGCTTTTATACCATTGATGCGACAAACAAAATTGACAAAGAGTAAGCGATATGCGAGAACTGCAGTATTTGCATGTGCTTTGAAGCCTTGCAGGTTAAACATTTCATTTACGTGCTGTTCTGACATGCGCTTTTTCTGAGCGCATACACCTGAAGCACACACACACTAAAAAGCCTGTCAAACAGCGCCTGATTACTGGACTAAGTTGTCTTTCGCGTCTGATTGCGCCAATACTGTCAAAACACTGTGACCTATCCCTTTAAAGTTTTTTTGCCCGTAATAATACTCTAAACAAGAAACTAAAACTGCAATCAGGTGGCGGTAAATATCTTTATGAGTCTTTTATTCATTATTCATTCGAACGGCTGATTCATTCAGGAAATCAGTAAACGGCTCTCTTTATGAATGGGCCTTTGAATCACCGGTTCACATGATTCATTCAAAACGCGGATTCATTTGGAAACTACACACCGTTGTGTTGCTCACAGAAGCACAACAATTCTGCTGTGGCTTTATAGGCAATATTTCTGTTGGCAAAACTGAGCAAAAAAGACAATATTGTGTTTAAAATGTAACACAACATTATCTTCTTATTTACTGAACTGCATGATAAAATCACATATATATATAAAATCACACACACAGTATATATATA